TAAGAGTTTTTCTATACATTGGCAATTATGCTAGAATGTCTTTACGAGCTGTTACCTTTCTAAATTTGAGCCCAAAATATTTGATTGGTTATTTTTGAAATGTTATTGAAAGTGACTGTTATTAATGGTTTCAGTGAAATTCATATTAATGATTTAAGTGATATGTAGAGTACATGATATTGCTGCTTTCGAATGTTTAAAGAGATTTAAAAATACTTTAAGTATGTAAGTGGACTCATCCGATTCACCGGTGAGCTATAAGTGGACCTATATGGGACGCCAGTAGGGATTAAGTGGACTCATCCGGTACGCCGGTGAGGTATAAGTAGACTTATCTGGGACATCGATAGGGATTAAGTGGACCTATCAAGACGTTGATGGGGTATATAGGTGACCTGCTTGGGACACTAGTAGGGTATTTTGTGAAATCCTTTGAATTATGCACTGCCGTTAAAATGTATATGCATTTCAATTATTCGGATTATACTTAATTAGGCATTTTTTGAAAGTGAAACTGTTAATGCATTCATGTTAATAGATCTCCTTTTTGAAAATATTGATATCTTTCAATCATGATTATTTTTAGGATTATGATGATCACCTACTGAGTAGCCAAACTCATCAAATTATTGTAAACATTTTTTCAGGATAACTGCGGTTTCATTTTGAGTGCTCGTCAGAATCAACTTTGGAAGATACTGTAGTTGTGCTTAAACTTTCTTTTGTTATATTATAATAATTCGTTACTGTAAATTTGTCCTATCAATGAAATGTATATATGTTTTGACTGTCACATCTTAAGAATATCGGTATTGTAAATTATTAGGGCGTGACAGGGTAGGCCCAAAAGGACATAGCTGAAATTAGTGAGGAAAAATATGTGGACTTATGGTCTTACCGAGGGTATTTCCTTTAATAGAACAGAATGACAGAATAGGATTTGTGTTGCCGACATCAATTAATTGAAAAAAAGCTACGATGATGATGAACATGATATTATAGTGTATTAGTTGAAGAAAAATAATATTAGAAGATAAAAAGCTCGTACATGTCCCGTTGAATAAAGAAATGTATCAAAATGCACCAAAGATATGAAGTATTTAACATTATACTCATTTTTATTTTATTTTAACTTTATACACATCAATAGCCATGAATTTGCAAAAAGATAAAATGTTAAATAATTTATAATTTAAGTGTATTTTGATAATGAACTAGACATCTCTATGGATAAAGGAGTGTCTATCACAAAGTACTTTAAAATATTCGTGGCAGCTTTGTGGGTGGACCTTATAGTAGTGAATTTTAGAAAGAAATGACTAGAGACTAATGGAGCACAGCTAGAGGATGCAAACACCTTGACATGGGGGGCAATTCATTTAAAAAGACTCTAAAATTTGACACATGAATACACAATTTCACTGAAGATTTGTACAAATTATTGCTCATTTGCAAAGGAGCATTCAGATTCACTGAAGTGACACACTTCTATAGGGACCCATGTCAACCATTGTTGGATAAATGACAAAATAGGTGTTTTGATATTTTGAGCACTGAGGGGTCTACGTTTGTTGCTTTGTGCTCTTCATGTGCTCGATTGGGTGAAAAGATCACCAATTGTAAAATCAGTATATCGCCGGTCGAACTAGTGAATTTTATAAATAATAAAATACAAATATAAATAATACTTTTTAAAATAATAATATATTGAAAATTTATAGAATTGTTAAGTTTCGATGAGTTTTCGACCAATCATAATTGTTAATTACATATCAAGGTTATCTATCTCTATATATTAAGGTTATTTCTCTATCCATGTATATTTAATTTTAATTTTGTATATATATTAAATCTAAGAGTAATGTACTATGAGACTCTCGAGTAGGATCCCAAATGATTATCATTAAATTTTGACACGGATATCTAGAAAAGTTATCAATAAATCCATTTTCCCCAGTCCCACACTTATGTGATACCTCTTCTAGAGATTTGTGTCAAAATTTAATGGTGATCTTTTAGAGTCATACTTACATAAGTGTGAGAGGGTCTCTTAGTGTCATTACTTTAAATATTCTAAATATGTATATACATTAGCATACTATGTATAGGTCAGGTTAGGGCAAACCGGGCTGATCCAACCAAATTATGACCCACTTGGACTCGAACCTAACCTGCAAGGTCTACCTGATCGGCCTAGACTCAGATTCGGGTCAGATCAATCTGCGAACCAAAACTACCGTTTGATTACCACCTACTCTCATGCAATGCTAGTATACTAGGAATTATAGAGGCACCGAAACATGAATAAGTGAAACTCGCATTTGTGGGTGTGTTTCGAGTGTCCAAATCCCAATTGATGCATCGAATTAGGCCTGGCAATCCAACCGACTTAGTCTGGATAGTCTCGGCTTAAGAAACTAGGATCTATTCCACAACATGTGGACCTGGACCACTATGGCCCGAGGACTGGGCCAAAGCAAGGGACACGATTTTTTTTTTTTTCCCTTTCTTCTTTTTGGTTTGTATTTGGCCCCACTCGGTCTTGCCCTTACATGACCAAGCCCGGGCTTTGGGCCTCTTCTGCCTTGTGGGGAATAGGGCTGAGCTAGGGCAAATGCTGGCCGGACCCATTTCCACCTTATCGAATATCCAAAAGCTCCTGATCATGGTGCTTCAATGAACGGCACAAATCTTCTATTGCTTTTTGATGGTAGACCATAGAAAACAATTAACATGATGCATATTTACTGGGAAAATGGTTTGATAGCGTTGCAGCCCCATCAAAATAAGCGAATCCTCACCTAATAACATCAAAAATTATAGTTCAAGCATTGAAAAACTTTTACATCGATATTTTCGGTATGAACATTATTATCAAAAAAATTAGGATTTTAAGCTCTAAAAATAGTGTATTATCATCATCCAAGTCTTATCCCAATTACTTAGGATCAGCTACAAATCATAAACATGTGTAACAAAAATAAAAGCATGAAACAAAATAAAAGCATAACAATAAAAGATTAGGATCCAAACAAGTTAAAGTTAACATAGTCCTTTAAATAAATGAAAAAGTACAAAAATAACCATTGCACGGTACCACGATACATTATATACATCGGCCCATAGTTTTACTAAGCAAATAACCTAAAACTTAACCCGGATCCCATGTAATTTCCAATGTGGTACCTCTATAATCCAAGGAAGAAAGAAAAACAAACCAAACAAAAAGAAAAAGACCCATATTTATAAAACTGGCAATACAAAGGCCTTTATAAATTGTTAAGATAAATTGTAGATTACCAAAATAACTATAAAGAAAAGGAAAAAATTTGTATAGAGTCGAGGCTCTAAACGATCAAATTAGAGCCTACCTCAAAATTTCACCAAAAAGAGGTTGTTTTGATGTCCAAATATCCTCAAATTGATCATCTCAACATCAAGATGCATGGGCATGACAAAAAAGTGGATTTCAAGTTTTGAAAATGGTGCATTTAATAAGGTATTTTTGGATCTTCAATTTCAAGATTTTCAAGTTTTCATAAATCTACTCGATCTACACTATTTTTGAAGCTTGAAATTTTATAATTAAATACGAAAACATATTTTAAAGCTTTCACAAAGATTTTAGTATTAAAAACTACATTTCTCGACACTATTTGAAGGTGTGCTTTACTTCGATTGTTTAGAGCCTCAACTCATAAATTTCAAAAACTAATAAATAATAATTATATTAATAAAACATTTGAGCGGTTAATTACAATTATTTTTAGATGGACTACCTATTTGCATCCATTTTTAAAATAAAATCTTTATACCTCATAGTGCATATTGTAGAAATATGGTCCAGCCAGTCTCAAACAATTCTAAAGAATTACCTTCACCGCCATCTGATTTCTCCTCCACCCCAAGGGCACTATCGAAATTGTTCTCGATATTTTTTCACTGCACCGCCTAAATCAGGGAAGCCCCCTAAAGAGACCTGCCCTAACCATGTCATTTTCTGTGAATTGAATCCTAGCCCACCTCAAATTCATGAAAAACGCATAGATCCACATCGCCAAATTATTTAGACCGTCCATTTCACTTTAAAAATAAGTGTTTATAAATCCACAATATTTGTATATTTTTTAGTTTCAAATTTTATTTTTAGTGTTGGAATTTGATTTTAAACGCATAGAGGGGATTTTTATTATCAAAAGTGTTTTGTGGACGGGGTTTTGAGGTGAAGCTTTATTTATGGGAAAATTGTAAAACGCCCCAAAATGTACTTTATGCGGACTCTACTCACCCAACTTTATCTAGGAAATAAATACTCTATAGAAAAATTCAATTTTTTGGATGAAAATACCCGTCTTTCAGATACCACATTATTTTAGTTGGAGAGGGTGGTCAGACATTTTGAACAATTGGTGGCTATTATTTTTGCTGGGATAGCCGGTTCGGCGTTTCATGGTGGTGGTCTGGTGTTCGATATTTCATAGTGGTTGTTTGACGATTATTATTATTTTTTGCCGGAATGGGTGGTCTGGCGTTTTGAAGTTACGGTCCGTCATTTTGAAGGGACAGTTCGGCGCTTTGATATAGCGGTCCGACATTTTGAAAATGCAGTCCAACGTTTTGAAGTAGCAGTTCGTTTTGTACAAGTGCGATTAGGTGTTTCTTTTTATTTGGGATCCAAAAACGATTAGTTAGATGAAAAAAAAGGGTATTTTCGTTAAAAGAAAATTAATTTTTTATATAGAGTATTAGCTAGAAAACATAATTTTTTTTTTGTGATGATTGTCGGGAAAGGTAGAGTAGGGGTAAAATGCCTAAGACGTCCATGGGGTTTTTTACCATTTCCCCTAGTTTTGATAAAATTTAGGCCTTATAAATCTCCGTATTTTTTTTGGGGGCCATTTTCTCTCTCATCGAATTTGAGCTATTTCTAGAGAGAGAAACTGGCGAGGCTAAACCGTTGGTACGGCCCTTTAAAGAGAGAAGCAATTTGAAAAGAGAACAGGCGAAGCTCGATAAATATCTCTCTTGAGATATAAAACCATAGCAGAGAGCCAAAAGCCAAACTTCAGAGCGTGGAAACAAGCCATAAGGTGGTTAAGTACTATTGATGCTTTCTCGCTCTAAGGTAATCGTTAAAAGGCCTGTTTTCCTCTCTCTTCCATCCTTAAATTTCAGTGGAAGCGCTAACCCAACTCGAAACACATACCCTGAAGCACCAAAACCCAGCTCTAATGGCGCCATTACAGGGTCTTACCCTATTTTCCTGCACAAATTGCAGCCTCACCATGTCAACCTACTTCTCCACAAACTTGGGTCAAAACCCAGCTCAGCCCTCCAATTCTTCAAATGGGCACCTCTTAATTTGCGTGGATTTTCTCATACTCCTGCAACGTTTTGCAGTATTTGTCATATCCTTATCCGAAACCAAATGTTTGAAGCTTCCAGGGATCTTTTTGATGATATGATTGCTTATTCTGGTGCTAATTATGATTTAGTTCGAGAACTCCAATCTGGTTTTCCAATATATGGCTCGAACCGAGTAACTGTGTACAGTTTCCTCAATATTGGTTACTGTCGTGCCGGCATGAATGAGCTTGCTGTTGAGGCATTCAATAGATTGCACAGTATGGGTATTTCGATTTCAACTTATTCATGTGCTTTCTTGCTGGATTCATTGCTCAAGGTTGATATGATTGATTCCATTTGGGACATTTATGTCAAATTTTCATACAGTGGTTTAAAACCCAATGTTTTCATGTATAATGTATTGATTAGTGCATGTTTCAAAGTCGGTGATTCTGAAAGGGCCAGAGGATTATTCGGAGAAATGGAGAGGAAGAATTGTCCACCCAATATTAGCACTTTTAATTGTTTTATTGAAGGGTTTTTGAAGTTGGGTAATGAGAAAGATGCAATTGGATTCATGGAATTGATGATCGAGAGAGGAATTAAACCAAATTTTGCAACATTTATAGCTTTAGTCCCTGCATTGTATGGGTCTGGTAGGGCAAAGGATGCCAAATCATGTTTCGAAGAAATGCTTGAGAGGAATTTGGTTTTAGACCAGAGCTCTTATTTCCCTATGATGAATCAGCTTTGCAAGGAGGGGAATTCGTATGGAGCATTACGGTTTCATAAAAAAATGTTTGAAAAGGGGCTCATCCCATCAACGGTAGCTTGCAATAGGATCATTGATTCATTATGCAAGGAAAACCGAATAGAAATTGCTTCTGAGTTTTTCTCTTTGCTTCTTGAAAAGGGGCCCCATCCAAACCTTGTTACCTATAGCTCTATGATCCATGCTTATTGCGAACTGGGTAATTTAACTAAGGCTCTTGAACTGTATGATTGTATGCTAGCTAAGAATGTGGCTCCTGATCTTATCATTTACAGTATCCTTATCAATGGATTTTGTGGGGTGGGTAGGTTAGAAGAAGGATTTGAGCTCTTTTCAAAGGCTATCAGTGTGGGTACTGTACCAGATGTAGTGATTTACAGTACACTTATAGATGGGTATAGTAAAGTGGGTAATCTCCAAAAGGCCTTTGACTTATATATAAAGATGATTGGAGAAGGAATTTGTCCAAATTTAGTTACCTATAGTGTGCTGATCGATGGGCTTTGTGAGAGTGCTAGAATTTCGGAGGCTTTGGGGCTTCTTTGCAGGGTTATCAAAGATGGTCTGGAACCAAGCATAATAACTTTTAGCCACCTAATAAATGGATTGTGTAAATTGGGAAATGTTATGGAGGCATTCAATTTTTATGGGCGTATGCTCGAAAGGGGTCATTTTCCTGATGTTGTGCTTATTGGGGTTCTTTTAAATGCATTAAGCAAGGAAGGAAGGTTGAGGGAGGCCTTAACTTTTTTTCTAAAATTGTTAAGAATGGGTTTAGAGCCTAATGCTGTTTTGTACAATATCTTAATGGATGGGTACTGCAATGTAGGAAAATTAGATGATGCTTTGAGGGTGTACAAGATGATGGGCGCTAGTAAAATAGTTCCAGACATCTTTGGCTTCACTACTCTCATCAAGGGGATGTGTGATCAAGGCAGGGTAGAGAAAGCTCTACATCTTTTTTTCCAAGTAGTCAAAAGGGGCATAGTACCTGATATTGTAACATATTCCACTCTGATAGATGGATTTTGTAAGAAACCTAAAGTAACGGATGGGATTAAGATTTTCGAAATGATGCTAGGAAATGGTCTTTTCCCTGATATTGTCACCTACAATGTCTTGATTAATGCTCTTTTTACTGAAGGTAGGGTGGGAGAGGCTTCCAAACTCTTCCATTGTCTCTCTAGGTGTGGATTAAAACCCGATGTTGCAAGTTACAACACAATGATCACTGGTTATTGCCATGCAAAGAAGATAAATGAAGCCCTAAAAATGTATCGGGTGATGATGCTAAGAGGGTTGGATCCCAATGTTATAACTTTCACAATTCTTGTCAATTCTTTTTGTAAAGAAGGTAGGATGGATGAGGCATTGCAAATTTTCAATACAATGGTTCAGAGGGGTCCTTTGCCAAATATTGTGACTTATAGTTGCTTGATTGATGGTTATTGCAAAGCTCATAGTCTTCAAGATGCTTTTAAAATTCATGACAGGATGTTGGGGGACCATGTTTCTCCGAATATTATATCTTACAGTGCTCTTATAAATGGTCTATGCAAGGAGGGGCGGATGGACGATGCACTTTCAGTTTTTCATTCATCAATAGATAGAGGGTTGATGCCTGATTTTGTAGCATATGGCATTCTGATTCAGGGCTACTGTGATGCTGGGAGATTAGCTGAGGCCTTACTCTTGTACAATAGTATGATGATTGATGGTGTCATACCTGATAGATTTATATATAAGATACTAATTGAAGGTCTTCACAGAGAGGGTAGGATTGAGGAAGCCAATGAGCTCATCCACAAGGCTCTATAGACTTGGTAAACATTTTTGGAAAATGTGTACAGTGATAAACTTATGTAATTTAAATTCTTTTGTGGCTATATATAATGCTTCTAGGATTGGTGATTCTGGTTCACTTTGGAATTTGGATATGTCAGAATGTTCTCTTTGTTAGTAGTGTATTGGATATGTTTCTTTGTTGTTAATGGTTTCCATGTCTTACATTTTCATTGTCACTACTGCCTTGGAAGTAAAATTCTGAGTTCTGGGTTTTAAACTCCTAATAGTATTGAGGATTTGAAGCAAAAGTTCTGTAATAGAATCGTGTTATTTTCTAAATGTTATGATTGTAATCTGATTGGGTATATTTTTTAAGTTTACGTGAATACAAAGTTCGGGTTTGAAGCATCCATTTGTCTGCTTTGTGAACCATTTCTCATGTTAAACTTTCTGCTATTTTGCATTTTTCAAAGTGAGGTGTGTGATCTGGCTAATGCTAAAAGTTAGGCAAACACAGAAGGAAGAAGGACAAGTATGAATGAGCGAAGATGACATTTTTCTTATGCTATTTGTACTTAGATATCTCTCACAAAATAAACAAGGCTTTCAAATAGGCATATGCAGATAATTCTAAAGACTGCTTCATTTATTTGACGTTGAACAATTGGAAAATACAAATCTTATGGCAAAGGTTAATGATATTGAGCTCTCTAAGTAAATTTAGTTTTAGACACCAACAGATAGTGGAAGTAAAATGCAATAGAACTAATAGAGTTTGAAGTTTAAAGTATGATTCATTCTTCTTATTCTATGCATTCATTACTTAAGCTTTCTGTCATCATAGCAGTTTTCTTATGGCAAACTTGCAGTTCCGGTTTCTGGTTTTTGGATTTATTTAAGTTTTTGCTTTCTGATCTTTGGAGTCATTCATTCTGTGGTGTAGTTTTAGTCATTAATCAAGGTTATCCTAAATTCTGATTTTCCAAACACCAGAAACAAAATGATTATAAATCTTGTCAATATAAGACTACTCCACCACATAATGAGTTAATCAAGATTCTGGTATTTGATATGAGTACCCTCTTAGGCTGCATCCTATGACTACCTGCTTCTTATGTTGTTGTAGTCATATGAGTGTTTTGATCCCCTTCTTTTAATTTTTTGACCATCGATTTTTACTGCCAATGAGTTTCCTCCTGCCTCATTATATTCTCATGCTTCCTCTAAGTTCAACTTTTTTGAGATAATGCTGTGATAATAAGGAGCTCATTTCTTCCTAAATACTAAGGGAGTCTAGTTGAAGCAAGGTTTCTGCTTCCTGCCACCTCAGCTTCCAAATAGTAATTTTATTCTACCTAAGCCTATGATCTAAAATGGTGGTTATTTTTCATAAACATGTTTCTAGTAATAAATCCCATTTGTACAGCTCACACCTCTTCTCTGATAGGAATTGTACTGTATGAGTGCCTGTTGTACGGGCTGCACTTGGTGACTAAAAAGGATGGAGTGAAAACTAGGTCCTTAAAAAATATGTAAAATATAAACAGTGATTTTATAGGCATATCCAGGCATCATAGATCCCACTCGAAGAATTGGTTTTATTTCTTTTTGTGGCATGTTAACTTAGCATCACTATCTATTGCATATAAGGTGTCTTGCCATTATATCCAAGGTCTATTCACAAGTGGTTCTATTGTCATTGCCAATGTTCTGAAATTTTCTTCGCTCTCTGTTTGGCTTTGGCTGGGGGATATATGTACTAGGGCAGCTTAACCACTTTGGTGAAGATATTCTGTTTCATTTATTGAAAATAAAATTCAATTTAAAAATAAGACAAATACTAGGGCAGCTTAACCACTTTGGTGAAGATATTCTGTTTTATTTATTGAAAATAAAATATTCAATTTAAAAATAATAAAAATATAATCAGTTTTGGAAATTTCAGATTTTTTAGTTAAACTTATCATGTTAAACACAATGTATTCTCTTAAATAGGTCATTGCAAGTCGATTGGTGATGATAGTTAAGACATGCAAATTTAAGCTCAACTATCAAGTGTTCATAATAAGGAAATTTTGGTTGAAGACTCATGAACTAGAGCCTAGTTCTTTGACTATTGATTTGGGATTGTTAATGAAGACATGTTGTTGAAGCTTGGTAGACTTGTTAATTGAATGAATGCACATGTAGGTAGATAGTAGATATTTAGAATCATAAAATGCATTGAACCGGTATGCATTTGATTAACCAATTGTTCTCTAAATTCCTTCATTTGGTTATTGATTAATGCCTCCCTTGTTATGTCAAGACATTAGTTGCTGCCTGAGCTCACATCCTAATTTGACAATTGACAACTTAAAGGATCAAGTTAAACTTGACGAAACTAAGAAACCTAAGTCTTCTCTAAACTCTGATCCACAGGGTATTCTTTGGATATATATAAGTTTTATTTTGTTTAATTACTCCAAATAGTCCAAACATGGATTTAGATGATTGAGCATCTCTTTATATGGGGCTAATGTGATGGAGCGTTGTGATAGATTCTTCCAGCCATGATAATGAGTACCCAAAATGTCTAATTAAATGTTCATATTGTGTAATTATCTTGTTATATCTGCCTCATTATTGTTCAAATTATAATATTGTACAAGGATGAGTTTTTTTTTTTGTCAGTGAAATAATCATGACGGATGTATAATTTAGTCATTGAAATGGTCATATGCTTGTGTGAATTATTAATACAATTGCTTCCATTTATTTACATAATCAATCAGGTGAAATGTCTTTATTTCAATTGCTTCCAGTCATTCATACTTTATCTTTCTTGAGAAATCTTCTGTGAAGTTGGCAACTTCCTGAGGATTCTTTGTCTCCACCTGTAACTAGTTACCGTGGTAGAAAGCTTGTTTAGTGGGCTCTTGCCAGCATTATTTTGCTTCTCTGTAGATTTCAATTCTCTGTATTTTTTGGGGTTTTCTTGTTTTTAGGTTTTCTCCCATGTGCTCATTCTTTTTTGGCATTACCTGAATAATAATTGCAAACAGAGGCATGCCCTTTTTGCAGGAGAGTCAGACAGGCTATGACTGAGCTTGATCTTTCAGTGGAGGTGAGAAGTTGTTGGTACAGGATTTTCCTTGTGTTATTTCAACTAAAGCATTTTTAGATTTCCTAGTGTTCTGAAGTTGAAGCTCAACATAACCTTACATTCTTGATAAGGCTCTGTGATGCCATATATTTTTGAGTTTCTGATAAGTCTGTGGTTTCATACCTATTATGGCCTTTAAAGGACAGGGACATTAACTTACGGAGAAAGCAAAAAATTTGGATGAAACCCAAAAATCTGAATATGGGAGGGAGGGAGCGATTATTATTCAATTAAATTCGTGTCTGTCTTCATTATTGTTCTCCAAACATTTGGAGCAAAAGAATATGGATGCCGTGTTTCTATTATTTACTAGGCCTATTAAGGTTTGATTGATATCATAATGCATGAAGGTTTCCTAGGGATGCTAATTTAGTGGTGGTTCATCTAGCCCATATATGGATTCCTAATGAGCGCATTAGATTTCGGCATTCTAGACAGACATACTTTTGTAAGTTTAACATACGATGTCATGGACATATAAAACGAGGCTTGTGATCAATACTCAAAGCTGAAATGATACAAAATTTTCTGGAGATTTTCAAATCAAGAGAGATAAGGAAGTTTAGAGCATTATATTGTGCAATAGATCAGTTTATGCTAGTTGAATTGTTTCTAGTAGTATTGATTTGCTTCAAATGTTTGTTTGCAATCTGAATGGCTTTCTCTTTATTGATGAACCTCAAGAAGAACTTCACCTCTTCTTGTTGCATAGATTAGTTTAAAGCTCATTGTATGTTAAAGCTTCTTCACATAGCAAAAAAACAGTGTGGTGCGATTATAGTATCTTATATTTCGAGGATGTATGGAGAGTACATATGTTCCATTTAAGTAGTTGTTTTAATAAAAGCACTGATAGAAAGGAAACTTAGGAACCGGCATGAAGGTTGTATAACCATACATTATGTACAAGGATTGAAGAGTTCTTTAGCTTCTATTCCTCTGTTATCTTCTAGCAAATTTGAAGACAATCTTTAAAAAGGGAATCTGTGGTACCATGGAATATAAGAGTAAAAATCCAAAATGTCTTTGTTTTACTTGAGAATTTTCCTATTATAACTGTCATCTGCTGAGGGAACAAATATTAGGTTTATCCTTGTCCAAAAGGTTCATTGAGTCATCGGCAGATGGTGAAAACTCTTGGTGGAAAAGAGCAGTAAGTATTCAATGAGGGGTTTTGAAGGAAAAAGCAAGAAAGAAAACTTTAAGCAAATTGATTTTGTGTGTGCATTGGTGTCAGCATATGTTTGTGCCATGTAGATGGATATCCACATATGTACTAATTACGATATGAATATAACATGCATATGCATGTGCCTCTACGAACAAATGAAAAAATCAAGAATAAAGTTTACATTTGCTTCACTTCGCCCTTTCATCTCTGTGAAAAAATACTGAAATAAAGATATTGAAACAGAGGACTTTTTTGTGCAGGTTTCCCTACCCTGTTGATCCAAACACTGGTGCCTCAATGTACGAGAGTGGTGAGCCATCAAACTACTATGTGCTGTGGCTTTGTACTTATTTCATGAGTGTAATATTGCTCTTAATGGAGTGCATGACAGGATTCTACTTGTCTTCATGGTTTTGTTTATTTTAGTGGTATCCTCTTACATAATTGACAATTATGCACTATTATAGATGGAAAATATGACCTTATCATTTTCTTTTACTAATATTAAATATTTGTATTATACACTATATTAATATTATAAACTCAAATATTTAATATTAGTAAAAGAAAATGATGAGGTATTATTTGCCATCTATGTTTGTATTGATTGCCTAATGAGTTGTGGGAGGTTAATCTGCCCGCTGAGGAGGTGCCACCTGAGCTACCTGAACCTGCACTTGGGATACATTTTGCTAGGGATGGGATGCAAGAAAAGGATTGGTTCTCTTGTTGCTGTTCATAGCGATGCATGGTTACTTGCTATGGCATTCTACTTTGGTACACGCTTTTGGTTGACAAAAATGATAGGTAATATGTGAACTTTGAAGTAATGATTTTTCTGAGAGGGTTCTGTGTCTTTATTTAATGCTAATTCAGTTATGTGCAATTAATCATACAATACATACTATTATAGGAAGTGAAGCTACAAATCACTATTTCTTGATGTTTTTCTGTTTTTACTCTTTCTCATTTTCAATTGTTAAGTGCAATATTTCTTTTCCTTGTGTGTATGAGTTATGGAGTTCTTTCTCCATCTCCTTGTGAATGCAAAACTATTGTATTTTGGTCATTGTTTTGCATTATTTTTGTCTATGAGCAGTATGTTGTTTAGAAATGGCCAAAAGTTTGGGTGTTTTGAAATATATTTGATTCTGCTAAACAATTTTGAATATATCTGAATTTTAACCTAAAATTTGCTACATAGCAGGTTATCTAACTGAATTATGGCCCCAACTATATAACTATGGTCTTAATTCATGGTTTTTTTATATGTGATTCTCACTATTTTCTGGTAAAAAAATGGCAATAAGACTCTGATTTTGCTTGTGTTCCAATTTTGGTGATGGGTACTTTTAGTTGGTTGTGGGGTTTGTAGTTTGTACCATTGGGTGCACAAAAGTGACTGCCCATTTCAACTTTTCCTCTTCGCAATGAAGGATACATGATAGATAACACCTTGAGGAGTGTTTGGATCCATTGAGAGCTCTTATGGTGTAGTGTTCTCACAATAGATTTCTAAAACTGATTCTTTTGCCATGCAAGAACCATTAACTGCCAAGCTTGTGTCATTTTTGCTCATTTGATGTAAGTGGAGCTCATAAGTAAGTGGAGCTCATAAGTGACTATGTGCTACACTGAATATTCGATCTACAATTGAATATGTGCTAGAAGTGGTGAATATTGTTGAAGTTTATATTGATGTTTTTAAATGTCAAAAGTGTATTGATTTATTCTAGGTTTTTTTTGGCTAATTTGGCCTTACCAAGCATGAACATAAAATTACTATCTATATCTACTAGAGGCAAAATATTGTGTGATGCTTTGAAGTGAAAAAACTAAAACTTACCAAGCACGGTTGACTTAGATCCATCGAGTTGATATCTACATTCTACAAGGACTATCCAACGGAGAGATACAACTGACTTCGAAAGAATGATGATAATTTGGGTGTATATGCACCCAATTTAAGTGCAGTAGCCGCAGCTTTGGCTACTGCATTTCGTAGAAACGAGGGTCCCAATCGAAGAGCATTGGCCACTAACTTCTATAGCTCTATAATCCACACAGATGAAGTGGGTCGTTGTAACCAAATAAGAATGAGTCGAGCTGCCTACTTCCAACTTAGGGATATTATTAGGCAGAGAGACTACAGTAATGATGCATTCTTGATATCTCTAGATGAACAATTGGTTATGTTCTTGCACACTATTGGCCACAACTTGAGGAATCGCAAGATAGACTGTCAACCGACATTTCAATTGCGTGCTGAAAGCATTTTTAAGACTCAACCCTGATTACATTAGACGCCTACAATTGGTTACACGAGCATAAATAAGCAGAGATAGGAGGTTTAAAGATTACTTCAAGGTAGTTTGTGACTTCATAGTTATATTCATTTCATTTCAAATTATCAATTTTTAGGTAGAGTCTACTTTGCTCATTGATTTCAATTTTGGTCTATGTAGGACTGTATTGGGGTCCTTGACGGCACCCACATCCCTGCTATTGTTAGTCAGTATGTTCAAAGTACATACTGGAATCGCAAGGGATTTACATCACAGAATGTTATGCGTGTTTGTTCCTTCACTCTAAAATTTCAATATGTCCTTGTAGGGTGGGAAGGTTCGGCATTGGATTCTTGTATTCTTCAACATTCACTCACATGTGCGGACCCTCTTCCTGTGCCCCTTGGTAAACATTATACTATTTTTCAATATTCAAAACTGCATATACATAAACCAATGAGATAATAAACGTAGTCTATTTGTTTTATAGGAAAATTCTACTTGGTCGATGCTGGCTACCCAAATATTCAAGGATTTCTCTCTCCGTACCTCCTAACACGTTACCATAAGAGCGATTTCAATCGTGGTAATTCGAATCCTCAAGACTATAAGGAGTTTTTTAACAAAAGACATTCTTCACTTTGAAATGCTATTGAATGTGGCTTTGGTGTCCTCAAGGCACGGTTCCTATATTGGAGGTTGCCCCTAATTATCCAATTAGGACACAAGTGAAGATAGTCCTTGCTTGTTTTATATTGCATAATTTCATTACAGAAGTTGATGGTGATGTGCAAGAAATTGGAGGAGATGTCAATGTGGAAAGATGTGAGGACAATACTATTCCGGTTTTTGAATCAGAGACATTTGGGATGAGTCAGAGTGAGAGGGATGATTGAGCGAAATTTCGAGATAATATGTCAATGAAAATGTGGAGGGATAATCTTGGCATTTCTTAGCTTTCTTCTTTGTTAGTCAAATATTGTTGGAATAGCAAATTTTCAATTTATTAAGTACTAAATATAACATGTTCAGTTCCTTCATTGTGGAAGGATCATCTTGGCATTTCTTAGTTTTCTTCTTTGTTAGTCAAATGTTGTTGGAATAGCTTTCAGTTTATTAAGTACAAAGTATGACATGCTCAATTCATGCATTGATGTAGTCATGTGTTGAATGAATCTTATGGCCGTGAAATGTTGCTTTCAATTCATGTTGTTATCTTATGATATTGACAATTTAATTAGGCATGGATGATGAGATAATGGAGGTCGAGAGTGCATCTTCAAAGGCAAAAAAAATTCAGTGGACTCATAGAATGGAAATAGGTTTGTTAGATGCGCTTGTAGAGCAGGTAGAGCCATGTGGCAAGCCAGAGAAGGATTTCAAACCGCCACAATGGAATTCTGTAGAGAAATCCTTCACCAAGGCAACAGGCATGGCTTTAAGGAGAGAGAACTGCAAGAATAGGCTTAAGACTTGGGGTAAAAACTACCCTACAGTTATCATAAACCACAACAGATTTGGGTGGGATTCAGTGAGACAGACAGTGACTGGTAACGAGGATCTTTGGGATCAATGCATTGCGATTAGTTTATTCCTTTCTGTTCTTTGGTATTTATGAATTGTATTGTGTATTTCAATATTATGCATTAATAATTGTCCGTATTGTATAGGCACATCTAGAAGTCAAGCATATCAATAGGAATTGAGCATAATCATAAGCAATTCAATGGCCGATGGGGTAGGTGCGAGGACAACATCAATGGCTGAGCGAGATGCAACGCGAGAAGATGAACCCATAGGTGAGAGTGTTATGGGAAGCTCTGGTTGGTGAAGACATTGGTAGGGATGTTGAAGAGGGGGGCATTCGTGAGACCCCTACACATTCAAGGGCTAGTGAGAAGGGTAAATCCACAGCTTCAACTTCAAGTCGACAAACGAAGAGGAAGACGATAGCAATGTCTAGTACGATAGAAATGATTGCCAAAGCAGTGTCGGGCCTAGGGTCTGCAGTTAAGGAATATAAAAACATTTTAATCCTCACATCGATGAGGTCTGTGATGTCATTTTCCATATTGATGGTGTGTCAGATGATGTCACTTCAAGGGCATGGAGATTGGCTCAGATGCGAATAAGGGCAAGATCTTCCTCAAGATGAATGATTTGGCTTGGATTCAGTCCAAGTATGGAAGTGGATCAAATGATCGTAACCGATGCCTGATGACTATGCCATCCCTATGGCCCTCTCAGAGTCTCTCTCAATTTCTCTAAATTTTATTTATGGAAACTTTAGATATGTAATTTGACTTATCTGTGTGTGTGTGTGTCTTCCTTTTGTTCTCTCCCCTCTCTCTTGGGTACCATCTAAAAATGGTTGTGGATGTCTTACTTTTCGGGTTATGACGTGGATGGGTTTCAATCTCTCTATAACATTGGACATGTGTTATGACAGGTTATATGTTTTTTTTTGTGCATGAGAATTTGTTGATGTATTTGGGAATTGAGCCTTCATGAATCCTTGTTCCATGATTGTCCATTGCTTTAATTATGCATTTTGCTCTGTGGAGAGTTTGGTCTCTAGTACACCTTCAATTATGCATTTTGAGGCTCATGACATAGCATTACTGGTTTTAATTATACATCAGTCTTATAGAAAAAGAGCTCATGAATGTGACTTCCGATCAGTCTTGATGTTTTTGAATTCTTGATGAACTGCAGGTTTAAGTGTTTTTCTTTTGTACTTTTCCCCTATATTTGTGGAACTCATAAATGCGAATGGCCAACTTTGAGCAAGGGCCAATGCACAGCATTACTGATTTAAAAAACAAGTGTATCATCATTTGTAGAGATGGGGGATATGGCTTGAATGCATTGATTCATGATTTTCTATCTTAAGTTTGCTGATGGGCAGGTTTCTCATTCGGGTTGGAGTACATGGGGCAGATTATGTCCTAATCTGACTGATGCTGTATTTCTGAACTACTCTCTTCCAGGCCATTTATTGAAATTCTAGAATTGGTTTTACCCTCTTTTTTTTCTTGATAAGTATTTAGAAGTGGATTCAACAGCAGGATTTGAGTGGCAAAAGTTTGTGTACCACCTCCATGTTTCCAATGGAAAGACCAGCATAGTGGTAAGCACCTGTTTCACGTGTATAGTGCATGTCCAATGAACTAGAAACTATATAAAGCTTCTAACATTATTTATTGAGAACAGTTCCATACATTACATGATTTTGAAACTTAGCTGAGCCTATATTTCAATTGCTGCATCATTCTGACTCTATTACTTGAAGACTCTCTATCTAGACTTATCCAAGAAAAGAAGGAAAAGAGACTTGCAGACTTGTCATAAATGGTACCTCCATAGAATCTATCTATTTGTCAACTGCAGAAAAGCTTATCAACTCATTGGCTTGTATTTCAACATTAAAGAGCAAAACCATTCCTTATTCTCGTTACTTTATGCATTCTATCATCACCTTTTTCTTCTTTCCAGTTCTTTGATTTCTATAAGGATGGTTTTGTTTCCTTGTTTAGCTATCATATTTTAGTTACTTTAGTGAAACCTTGTGCCTGTGAGCACTTTGTGAAGAATGATCATGTAATTAAAATCAATGCAAACCAACTGTGACACTTGAGCACTTCCTACTGGTGAAGAACCAGTTGGATGTAAGATGGTTTATAAGATAAAGATTGCATCTAATGGATATTTTTTTAGCAGATATAATGGCTGGCTGGTGATCAAGGGATTTATTGAAAGGTATGGAGTTGATCATGAGATCTTTGTATGGCCTGTTTAGCTTAGTGATAAGTTATATTGCCAATTCTTCTTTGGTCTGTTATCTGGGAATTATGGGCTTAAATTAATATAAACGGCTTGGTCAGACTGTTTTCTGGCTAATGTTCTTCATGGACTATCATCTAAACGAACCTTTAGTCAGTGTCGTTGTTTCTACAATTACAGGTAATTATGCCTCTAAGATATCTTGATTATGCGCTGCAACGACAATTTCTATGAAAGGATCTGGGTAATTGGTCATATTTTCTACTATTCGTCTCAAGATATTTTGAGATATCATGGTTGGACTCTGTTTGTGGACAGACTTCCTTAACAACAGTAACATAGTTATATCTAGCCACTATTAGAGTACACATTTTATGCAACCCATGCGGCTCTTATCACATGCTTTACCCTACATTGCTAACCACTCGATAGTTTTGTGTGGGTGAGGACTTTGACCCGAGGATCATGGACTACTTATCATCTCTTAGGCCTCAATTAGGAGCCAGTTTTGGACTCTAGGACAGTTAGCTCCGTTTGTAACTGGATGCCTACTGTTTCATAGTCGGATGACAAACTTCGCATGGACGTAGGAAATATTCATGGGATCTCAGAATCCAACCCAAATGAACCAATTGGTTGGGAACTCAAAGGATGGAAAGCCATTAATATGCCTCTAGGGTCTCTCTAAACACCAACACTTGCTACTGTTTTCCTGGGTCTGCAACTATGCTTTCTGTCTTCAACTCTTTGGCTTCTTCCAGGCCTACTTAGGAGAGCGGAAATTTAGCGACGAAATGAATTAAAGGAGCAGCAACATCTTACCTCTTCTTATTTTCAATCTCATGCATTACAAAGACATGTTGCACGATCATAAATTAAGTGAGTTCTCTTCCCTCCTTCCCTGCTGCTCTCGTCTTTCCCCCAACGTCTTCTCCTCTTGAATATAACATACTGAGCTTTTTCTGAGAGTCTATTCATACAGGTAATGAGAGAACAATTTTGCTTTAACAGAAAAGTAGCTTCATTTCGGTATCTCTTTTGCATAGGTTGTTTAAACTTTCAATAGAATATGTTAGGTAGAATAAGAAGGAAACTATATGACTTTTATAAGTAGATTTTGCAATCATGGTAACTTGCTCAGTTGTCATATAAGAAGAATTAGTGAGCATGAAGAGAACAGAGTGCTTGAAATGGGTTCTGATTTTGTTTGGCATGGATCTTATGCATGTGCTGCCAATAGGAAAAGCAATATTTACCATTATGTGGGCAAATGTAAATTGCTTGCCTCTTGGGGTTCTTTGAAACTCTACTATTCTTGGCGAATGCAGTTTGAGCATGCGATTTGAAACTTGACAGTGCTAACCATGAGCATAACATTGGTAAGTGGTTGCCTTTTTCATTTCTCTTGTATATGCCACATATGTACAATCTTGAAGTTTAGTTAGTTGATATTCTAAAGTGAAAATTGAACTGAGGCCTGAAATTAGCTCAAAGCACGAGTTTTGAACTGTGCATGCTTTCATTTTTTTTTTCTTCCTGTTCTGTGGTTTTTTCTGCATTTCTTTTTTGGGCTTTTTGGACTTGGGTCATCTAATATTTCCTTTTTCGTTTTTCTTTGATATGATGGTTTTGCATGTTAGTTTGCAATATTTGTAATTTTAGTAACTCTCAAAGTTTTATTTCTTAAATCTTAATTCTGTTTAATTATCTGCAATTTTATGACATGGTGAATTTTGGGTTTTCTGCTTTATGGGTTTTGCTGATGAGCTTTGAAAGATCTTTGGGTTTTTTATTTCTGATATTTGATGCAATTTTGATGAAATGTCCAGCCAGGTATTTTTGTCATTGTTTATTCCCTTTCTATTTTTGATAAATGGAACCTCATTAAAAAATATCTACCAGTGTTCATCTGATCTTAGGTGCCCTGTGCAAAATGACCAAACAGGATGGCATAGGAATGACTTTTGAGAATTCTCAAGGAATAAAAGATATATATACCAAGAGTTGAAGACTGAAAACTGGCTCTAGAAGAGATATAACCAATGCTGAAAACTAATCCCTTCTCTCTCTTCCCAATATTCAGAAAATCATGTCTAGAAAATAGGTTTCAAATTATATAGATGAGTTCCCATGATGTAGGCTTCAATGTGTGTTGTAGTCATGTTTTGGTTTTATGTAAATTATATATAATAATATGAACTGGTCTTTGGTGGGTTTACAGTGAAGTATATTAAAAAAATGGTTCAATTTTTTTCAGGACATAACTAACCAGGTGTTGTAATGGAAATGACATATCTAAAAGGTTGTGTACAAGAGTTGCTAATACTGGCCAACTATTGCCTTCCCACACCTTTTGGAAATAATTTTTTCCATTACATAAAATCATCTTGTACTTCAGTTTGAATGAATGTGATGTGAATGAAGTGACACGGATTAGCATGTGTTGTGAATGAATGAGAAAATGAAATTCGGACCCCCCTCTCTCTCTCTCTCTCTCTATATATATATATATATATATGGGTTATGTTAAGATGTTCACATTATGGAGTAATTTATCATTGTACTAAAGAAATTTAGACATTATAGATTTTTGTTTTGTATATGGAACTCTTTTCGTAAGAGTATTTTTGGTCATTAGGAGGGGTGTAACCTCATCTACATGGGGTGTGACATCATCCACATGGAGCATTAAATGCCACTAGTGTGATATATGTGGTTAACGTCACACCTCATGTGAGTTACGTCTCGCTCTTCCTAATTACAAAAAATGGCCTTATTAAAAAGGGTACGGTTTGTATAGAGCTGAGGCTCTAAACAATCAAATTGGAGTGTATCTTCAAATAGTGTCGAGAAAAGTGGTTTCAATATTGGAAATCTTTGTGATAGCCTTAAAATATATTTTCGTCTTTAACTATAAAATTCAATGCTTCAAAAATAGTGTAGATCGAACAGATCAATGACAACTTGAAAATCTTGAAAATTGACCATCCAAAAATGCGCTACAAGATGCACTATTTTCAAAACTTGAAATCCAATTTTTTTTTATGTATATACATCTTGATGTTGCTATGATCAATTTAAGGATATTTGGGCATCAAAACAACCTTTTCTAGTGAATTTTGAGGTGGGCTCTAATTTGATTGTTTAGAGCCTCGGCTCTATATAAACTTTTCTTTATTAAAAATGCTTCTTGTAAATATAGAAGTGTTTAAAATTTATTGAGTACAATGATAAATTACTCCATAGTGTGAGCACCTTAACATAACCATATATCTATATAGGAAAAAGCTCTACTAGTTCATATGAACATATGAGTTCATATGAGTCCAATGGCCCAGGTTGGATTTAGGCTGATTTGATGGTCACAGATGTCTGTCAGTGTTTGAATTTTAATTTTTTTTTACAAATCCAAATCACTTGAAATTTTAGCCATGTGTTAATAAAAAATAGATGAATTTTCGAAAAATATCAAAAAAAATATTTTACATGAAATAAATTGATCAACATGCCCCCGAAACAAAGATATTTTGGTCATTTTTTTGTGAATAATTTTTTTTTTATATTTTTATTAGGTGCAAATTGATGAGCATAACAACACCTAAAATTTCTAGTGATTTGAATTTATAGAAAAACAATTAAAATTCAAACACTGATGGACATCTGTGACCGTCAGATAGGCTTATATTCAACCTAGACCGTTGGACTCATATGAACTATTGGACTAACCTAGCTTTTACCATATATAAAAATGAAATACAAATCTATCACGTTCTTTGGTGCTTCGCCATAAAATGCCTTTGGGAGTAATATGTCATGTCAAATTTTGGGTGTTATTAACAAGGACATTGCAAACTTGGTAATTTTGAAATGTGCACTTGGACAAACACTAGAAATTATTATTCAATAATCACATTATTGGAAAAGGTTAATTTTTTGAAATAATAACAATTAATAAAAAATTTTGAAAATTTCAAGAAAAAGATATTCCGAACAGTCCAAACAAGAAATTCGTATTTTTTTTATTTCTACTTATCCAAACAACATACACCATATTCAAGGAAATGTCAATTTCAGTAAATCTCAATTCTAGGATCGACTTTTCCCAAGATTGAAAAATACAAAGATCAAAACGGGCCCTTAACAAAAACTTTTTCCTCTTCAAATATAACTTGGTATCTAGGATTATTTGTTGTAAATGACCGCTATTATTGCGATAATAGTTAAAGCACATACTATTAATCGTTATTGCAACCTTGCTATGAACATTCAGGTTCTCTCTCTCTCATCCATCTGATTTTCGACATAGCGAAAAGATCATATGCTCCAGCAGGACCATATCCTAGAGTTACTCCTCTGCTAAAACCTTATTCATGACGGTTTGAAGGATCACAATTTTGGGATATGAAAAGAAGATAAAAAAAAGAAGAAAGGGCAAAAAAATAACTATATGTGTGCCTAAAATGAATGAGTCCTAAGATTGAAATGCCAGTTTTTGGATCTAGGTGTTTAAGAACTTGAAATCCAATTTTCATTTTGTGAAAAAATTCATGCAGTGATTCTAAAGGGATTCCAAAATCTCCAACTAAGACAACCTTGTGAGCAGTTTTTGGCCCGAGGGAATAAATATACATTATGCTCCCATGAGAGCATGCTATACACACTCTCATAGTAGGGAGAAAGATATCTATGAGCAAGCGAAAAATCTTAAAAATAGATGGTTTAGATAGTGTGATATAAAATGCACTACTTTTAAAACTTGAAATTCATTTTTTCTTTCATATATAGAAGTGAAGATCATCAATTTGAGTATTTTTTAGTGACGAAATAACTTTTTCAATAGGTTTTTTTGGTGCACCTTACTTGTACGGTATAAGGCAAACACTTTAATATAAACTTTTTTTTTCTTTTTAGAATGTCAAGAAGTATCTATGAACCAACTTACCTATATAGAATACCAAATAACTTTTCTAAGTAAAATGAGAATACAACCTAATGACCAAATCACATTTTGTTTACATTGGATAAGCCACCACACTTATTATGGACAATCCATAAGTAACAAAAAGGATCCATGTGATTTTGAGGATCCTTTGCCCTTGTAACCAGTGTCACTTACAAACAAAATAAGAAAATATGAAACTGCAACATGTCTCCTAAATCACAATACAACAAAAAAAGGAAACAAAAATTTTCAGAGGATATGTATATACCCATTGGAGGCAGAACTCAATCTACTATACCAGTCCAACCCTAAATATTTCACAGAGAGAGAACATACTTTTAGTAGAGAGAGAGAGAGAAAAAGCGTACTTTTCTCTCTCTAGCTTTAGAGAGAGAGAGAGAGAGAGGTTTTTCTCTCTCTAGCTTTAAAACTTTATTTTGGCTAGGCATAGTGAAGGTAAATTACATGGCTAACTTTAAAAGGGGTGCCACACAAATCAAAACACGTTATTAAAACTAAAAGTGCTAAGGCTAGTAATATATTGAAAAACCAGTGTCATTTTCCTCAGATTTTCGAATCAGATACTATTGCTCCAAAGCCACCCTTCATCTTTCTCTTCCTCATCGCTCTCCTCTCCTACAAAAACTGGAGGCGAAAGCAACAAAGCCTCTGCTAAGTCCGACCACATTCCCGGAGAACCCACCGGAAACTCGCCGGAATACTGATTAATTGGTGCCTGGATGACCGGAAAGCTCGCTGGGAAGCTCTGGTTTTCGCCCGAAAGCTCTTTCTCTCTACTCTTGCTCCTAGCTGCCTCTAAAGCCACCGACCTTATGTCTTTCGGATCTTTCGTTAATGGCTTTGGGAGCTTATCGGCAAATTCAGGGAAATTGAGGCGAGCCGATCTTCCTTTGAGGGAAAGAGCAGCTGCATCATAGGCAGAGGCTGCCATTTCCGGTGTTTCGAAACTTCCAAGCCATATCCTCGACTTCTTTCCTGGTTCTCTGATCTCCGATACCCATTTCCCCCACTTTCTTCGACGAACTCCCCTGTAAGCTCTGCGTTCTTCTCTGTAATCTCGGGTGAGACTTTGCTTTTTATCGGTGCAGCTTGTTTCGGCTCCGGCTTTTTCAATGCGGTTCTCAGTGAGATTTTGACTGCATTCAGTGTTGAAGAAATCCATGGCTGGGAATTGGTGAAACATATGTAGCAGAGGACTTTCCCACGAAAAGAAGACCAAAAAAGCAGGAAATGGAGAACTTCTAGAATGAGAAAATGAGGCAGAAGTTGAGCTTTTGAAGTGAGATGAGGACCCAAAAACAAGATTTTGTGATGAGAAGGGAGCTCAAAAACCAAGCTCTTATATTCTAGAGGAATTACAAAAATACAACAGGAAAACAGAATAACAAAGTTTCAAAGCTACGAAGTAAGCAGAACAGCAACTCTAAAGAGAATGAAAATGATCCCAGACTGCAATGTCCGACGAGAAATGGCTGGAAAACGAAATTTCGTCAAGAAGAGGACGCACTGTGAAAAATTCTTAGACTTGAACAGGACCCAAGTAGAGTGGCAGTCACTAAGGCTTTAAACTCACTCTAAAAGTCTAGAACCAGAGTTTTTTAAATAAGTACAAGTCGGAAAATCAAGCCCCAAAACATTTTACACCCACAAACTCAAGGACTCTAACTTCTAAGTAAGCACAAGTATTTTCAGGCCAAGTTGGAGTTAATTCCGGCTAGAAAGACACCGGGCTAAACTAAGGTGAGTGGCTCTAGAGCTTCAAGATTATCATCACCTATGCTTCCACTAGTTTACTTACTCATCCAGTTATGAAACATGGCCTAGCTAAGGTTTTCGTGAAGCGGCTAAGGCTTTCAACAAGGCTCGAAGCGCTGAGCAAAGGCATTCACCAAGGCTCGAAGCACCGAGCTAAGGCTTTCACCAAGGTTCGAAGAATTAGTTCGAAAAAGGCCTTCGTCAAGGCTCGAAGAATTGGTTCGAAAATATTTTCTGGTGGAAGTACAGCTACAAAATGTAGTATTTTTCCGGCGACATTCAGAGTAGGGGTGAAGTCAGGTATATGTAGTTTATGGGGGGAAGGGAAGGGAAGTGTGGCACTGCGGATAAAAGGATTGGGGATGCTTCGTGGGTGTTGCAATTGAAGTGACAAAAAGGGGTTAAAATTGGATTAACAGCTGATCGCATGCTGGCTTGCATTATCCGGATTTGAGTTTCCGCGTTGACGGTATGAGACGTTGTCGTGCTTTGAATTGAGGGACCATGTACGTACATGTGCGGCGGTGACCTTTTCCCCCCTAGGTTTTGTGCACGTTTTTTAGAGAGAGAGTGACAGCTGCGGTGGTGGCGATGGAGAGAGAGAAATAGAAAGAGGGGGTCCTACGGCGGTGGAAACAGAGGGTGTTTGAAATTTTGGGTCGAGAATTGGAGACATAAAGGGCTTGGAATGGGTTGATGCGAACCTCGACCCGACCCGATCACGTTTAGGTTGCACCCAGAGGTGGAAATGGAGAGTTTCAAATTTTGTATGGAGAATTGGAGAGATATAGGGCTTGCAATAGGTCGGGTTGGGGCTGGTTTAATGTGGACTTAGACCCAACCCGATTACGTTTAAGTTGGACCTAGACTTAGGTCAGGTCCAAGTTAGTTGGTCCATGTCTGGTTTAGGTCTAGAATTTAAAAAGTATAAAATAAAATTGTTATATATTTAATAAGAAAAGAATAGAATGAGACTATTTACCTTTGATACAAAGTTGTCACAATAATCGTGACCATTGGATGTGAAATTGACTCGCTACATTTATTCTATTGACCATGCTCAAACTTCAAAATAAATTTTTTTGAGCTTTATGACATATCCAAGCTATCAAATTTCACATCAAATGGTTGTAAAGAATTGTGATCATCTTGTATAAAAAGTAAATGGTCTCATTGTATGCAACCTTTATTTTATAAGGGCAAGCTTTTTATACTTCATCCGCTGTATAAAACTTATATACTTCTCCTTATCCAACCGCTCAGTTTGAATGGATGTCTGAGATGATTTTAATCACGATTTCACGTCTCTACATTATTTTATTTTTAATATTTTTTTTTTATTTTAACACCAAATTTTGGACGCTAACTCCTATCTTAAACTCACATCTATAAAAAAGGTATAAAATAAATGTTCCCAATAAAATAAAATGACCAAATTTTAAGTGCACCTCATTGAGACGATGTCACGTACCAAATTTCATATTCATATAATTTGTAAAAAAATATTGAAAATAAAATACTATGAAGTGTTAGATCTAACGGTAAGTGACTTACTTTATCTAAATTGAAAGGGCTGAATGGGGAGGAAAGTAGACATCTTCACTACAATGGAGAAGCCCTTCCCATTTTATAATTGTTGTTACTGTATATTTACATTGAGTTTGAAGATTTATTTGAAGAATCGGATGGATGAGGGATGCATATATATATAGTATATAAATGAACTTGAGTGAATGTAGAACTCTCTCGGACTCTCTCCCTTGGTTAGCTAATGTGCTGCATATGTGGTCCTGCAGGACTGAATTGTACATTTAATTTGAAGTTTTATTTGAAGAATTGGATAGATGTGGGATGCGTATATTTAGTATGTAAATGAACTTTGAGTGACTTTAGAACTCTCTCTCCTCTAAGTGGACTCTCTCCCTTGGTTAACTAATGTGCTGCATATGTGGTCCTGCAGGACTGAATTGTATATTTAATCTCAAAAATTTCAAAGCACCCCCTCATAGCAAAGTCTCTTGACATGGATCCAAATAGACAGCTTGGTCCCACTAGACCTCCTAATCTTTCTCCCAACAAAAAAAACACTCTCTCCTACTTGTAAAGAAAATTATAGGAAATAAGATTCGGTGGTCTTGTGGGATCAAACTCTATATTTGGTCCTCGATGCCTAAAGCCCATGTTAAGGGGGACTTGTCTGACCCCCCCCATAAATCTAAATTCATCTAGGCATAACACCAAGATGAATTTGAGAGAGAAAAATTACTTCGAGCTTAAAAATGCTATAAATCAATTCCGTGGTCCATTTTGGACTACCAAAATTTGAGTTTTAAGAGCTCAAAATTCTTTTTCTTTGTGTTACATAAAGAAGTGAAAATTTTTGCTTTATCGCGCAAAAGTTTTATTTATGAGGATGGGATAATCTCTGTTAGGCATGATCTCCCTCAAGTACCATATGAGATCTTATGGGTGGTTTCTCTTGTTGTTAGTATGACCTATTGGATCGATCGATCCAATACGCCGGATCATTAGCTGGTGTCTTGGCCAGTCATGAAAAAATTAAAGTTGAATGACAATTGATCAAATCCGATGTTTGATAAACATTAATCGATTAGACCAGCTGATTTTGAATATTTTGATCAGTTTATCACGTTTCATGATAGAAATGCCATAAAATTTTTTTGTTGGTTGCAACCTATCATAACCCTCCACTTTTCTATTATGGCCTTGGAACCGAAAATTGTAGAGTTTCTTTTGACCAATTAGACTGACTACATAAGATAATAGCAAGTGTTTTTTATTTGTAAGGTATCATTTGTATTCTTCTGATTTGCTATTTGTATTTTAAAAGCTCTTGTTCAACCTTGTGACTCATGAATAGACCAATTTTGAAACAGCCCATATAGTGATGGTCGCCAATATGATTCTTGTAACAATGTTTTTTCTTCTTGAACCAGTGTTTCAAAAACTAATCGGTTATCCGAATCGCTCATCTAGAAAAGCAATCAAGATTGGCCAATGGACTGTCCAGATCGATAATAAATCGGACAATTAAAAAAAAAAAAGTATAAAATAAAATTAATAAATAAAAATAATAATAAATAAAAAGTGGGGCCATATCGACTAATACCCTAACAGAGCCCGCCGACTTCTAACAGGAACCTTTGCGAGTTACCTTTAACTTGCCTTCTTTGTTTGGGGTGCGGTTTGTATACAGCCGAGGATCTAAACAATCAACTTAGAGCCTACTTTCAAATAGTGTCGAGAAATGTGGTTTCGTATTGAGAATCTTTTTGATGGCCTTAAAAAATATTTTTATACCTAATTATAAAATTTAAATCTTAAAAAATTGTGTAGATCGAACAGATCTATGAAAACTTGAAAAACTAAAAAATTGACGGTCCAAAAATGTGTCACAAGATGCACTATTTCCAAAAGTTGGAATCCTTTTTTTTCTTATGTCCGTGCATCTTGATGTCGAGATGAGGATATTTGGGCATCAAACAACCTCTTCAAGTGAAATTATTGAGGTAAGCTCCAATTGAATTGTTTAGAGCCTCGGCTCTACATAAACTTTTTCCTTTCATAAATGGATCAAAAATTTAGTTGAACAATGTGGGATTCGGGTGGTCTTTTTGCTTTTTAGACTTCATTTTCCAAATCCTTTTGCTTTTTAGACATCATACTAATATATCATCAACGTAATTTTTATAATTGACACGTGGCCCATCCGAAGATTCCTGTAATGTAGGAGTGGATGCCACGTGTTCCAAGCAATCTTTAGTTTTGTCACTTGTTCAAAATCACATCACATATTATAATAAGGAATGTGACTATTTGTTGAACTGTAAAGCCTTAGCTTGAGCCTTGTATTCGCCTACCAAAGACCTATGACTCTTTTTTTGTAAGTCTTTCATCAGCAAAGAAACATGTATGATTATTTGGGTCCACGTTTTTTTATTTACTTTGGAGATTTAATGTTTTTTAAGAAAAAAAGAACTCGGTCTCCCGGCAATCTAAATATTCGAGTCGGATTGAGAGAACCGGCTCTAGGAATTCGCTTGGCAGAAAATGAAAGTCATGAATTTTTGGGAGACAGTAAATGGTCCCTGTTCTGGACAACATGGGGGTGTCAGTCAATATTTTGGTTTTGGAAAATATTATACGGTATTTGAAAACACCATGTTTTCAAGTGGAACTTTCCTGATTTTTAATAAATGGAAAGAGGCGGTGGTAAGTTTAGAGTAGATTAACATACTAAAATTCATGTAGCCAATCTTGGTTAATCCGAAAAAAAGCTATGATGTTGACATTGATGATTTCTCCTCCTCTTCTTCAATATTTTACATTTATCTCTTTCATCATTTTAAATATTTGAATTTGCTAACCCCTCTCTTAGTGATGGCCCCTGTGCACTAATGGTGGGTTGGACACCACCAATTAGTGTATCATCCATCATTTTCTTTTGCTCTTTTTTGAAACATATTATTATATAGATCATCATTTTTATCCAATTGCTTTCCTTTATTCATGTTATTTAACCTCTCTTTATGCTTCTCTTATCTTTAGAGAGGCAGTGGGGTATCTAAGAAACAACTAGGAAGTGGAGACGATCACCAACTCTCTCTCTCTCTATCTCCTTTTTTTTCCAAATCGTTTCTCTATCTTCCTTCTACTCTTTCTCATTGATCTTTGAAAACCCACCGACAGGTCCACTCTGGTTTCCTGTTTTATATTTGTTCTCTCAATTTCTGACGTCCTTGCCACCAAACTGAGTAATATATAATTGGTTTAAAGGTAGGAGTCAAAATGTATCCAGGTTGCATGCACTATCTACGTGGAGAGAGAGAGCTGTTTTATGGTGGTCTTGACCTTGGAGTAAGGGTTTCAATTTCTACGAAGCACTGCCATACGTGTCAGTGCTATTTGAATGAACTGTCTTAATTTTCTGATCATTTCACCATGGTCGTAAGAAAATTGAACCAGACCTAGACCTTGTCACGCTTGGTGAAACGATTTTGACTTTTTATTGTATACACTCAATGAACGTAGTTTTCTTGCTGGACCAAGACCACGTCACACTTAGTGAAACGATTTTGATTTTCTATTGTATATACTCAATGAAAGTGGTTTGACATAGTGAGAAAAGATGTAGGGATTTATGGCCTCATTAAAGGTATGACCATTAATAGAACAAAATGACAGATCAAGATTTGTGTAGTTGACCCCAATTAGTTAGGCAAAAGCTTTGGCGATGATGATGATTGTATATATACTCAATCATGGTATATATATATATATATATATATAGATAGAGGAAGATACTACAAAACACTTATAGGCGAAATGAATAGTGATTTTACCTACCTTCATCACCGTCCAAAGTTCATCGCACAGTCACGATTGTCCGATAGTGTTTCATTTTTCTTTTTTTTTTATAAATCCAAATTACTTGAAATTTGGAGCATATGCACATCTTAGTGAGGAGCACATAATAAAAATATGAAAAAAATAATTCACAAAATATAAATTGACCAAAATACCTCGATAAATTTACAAGGGTATTTTGATCAATTTAT